AGTGTCACATCCTTGGATCAGAGCCTCAAAAATCAGGTCAAAGAGAAAAGAGTGATCTCTGCCATGACCCAAGCAGGACAGCCTGTCACACACAGGAAATACCTTCCCCCTTCATGGGTTTCCCCTGCCCTTTGACAGTACAAACAAAGCTGTTTGTACATGAAGACCACATGAGAAGGAAGGCATGAAACTCGTTTCCGCATCACAAGAGATGGTTTTGTTAGTGTGATTCATTCAGCCATTGCAGTTTGTGCCCGAGGAGACCTCAGCGACCTTCAGAGGCTTCTATTCATTTTTATTCAAGTTCCACGTTGAAAGTTCCAACATCACTTACTGGTGGGTTTCAGGATAACAAGAGGAATGAACTTGCCTTTTTGACTGGCAAAGAATCTGGAAACCAAGGAACGCAAGCTTTCTTTTACCCAATACTCCCATGATGATGAATTCACGTATCAACCCAGTGGGTCCAACTCTGTACATATAACTGGCGTTTTGTCTTTCGAACAGGGACAGTCCATCTTCATTATAACAAATGCTACCTCTGCATTAAAAGAGGATCAGAATAAAGCTCATGGTAGTTCCTCTCAGTTTTGGTACCCATGGCCTGATTTACAGACATGCCAAAAATCTAAAATTCCCCATAGAAAATCAGGGTGTTCTGAAATCAGATTTCAAACATGTCCAGTTAGGTAACCTAATCCTAGAGTACCTGGCTGCCTTGGAAAGAGCTGTGTAAGTATTAACATAGAAAAGAATAGCCTGTGAGTGTACCCAGAGAGTCCATTTCTCACAGAAGCTATCAAGAACATATTTGGTTCCCAACACCACCATCCCCACTCCAGACAGACCATCATAACTGTCCTCTCAAAGCCTACCAGACACTGATTATAAACCAGGTGGCTTCTCTATGGAATACAGACAAGATAACTTCACCTCAAACCAGTGCCACAGCTGACGGAGGGACAAGGAGTACTTTTGCCATCATGTTCGCACTCACAAGCATGGCAGAGACCATCACTCTGTGAATCAGACCTGTGCCCTTTTTTTGCCTGCAGCCCCAGCTCTTCCAGCCTCCCTAGCACAAAGGCAGTAGTTCCCCAGGGAAGAATGTAACCAAAGGAGTTTCAAATAAGCTGCCGCAAACACTGGACAAAAAACAAAACCTGCAGCTGCAGGACTGTTTGAGGCTATTGTACGTGTCTCCTGCCTCTGCCAAAGGGGAGAAAGAGGACTCTGCTTAACTCTGAGCATGTCTGGTTTGCACAATTTATCAAGAGTCTAAAACCCAAAACCCAGAAATTTATACACCTCCCATCCCAAGCTGCACAGAGTAATACTTTACAGTCTATCAGTCCCAAGAAAAAAGACAAAGGACATAGACAGGTCTTTCTACACCACCCAAATAATCATCAGCTCCTGTCTTTAACAACCAGATCTCAGTGCTACTGCAGAGCAGCACCGCACTTCCCTACCAGCAAGGAGGAAGAGTGCCCAGACTGCACGGCTGGACAAGATCAAAAGGGCTTCAGTTAGCAGCCTGAGGACCCTGTGCCTGCGCACAATCTACAGAGCAGACTTGTGTCCCCCCCTGTGCCCAGCCAGCAGCACACAGCTATCCACATTGTTCCAAACCTGAGAACGTGCCTTTGTGCTACAGCTCTGATCTCTTACACACCCAGCACCTCCATCTATCCTGTTTGCAGGAGCACTGCTCATCCTACATTGATATCCCGTG